CATGGACACTACATGGGCTGTTATCTCATGGAGTGTACCTAGTTATATTCCATCAGACTATCCCATTATCACATATGAGATAGGATATCATATCTTACAGTCTAGCAACTGTTTAATGGTAGATGATGATGACATTGATATTGAAAGGCTACAGTTCATTAATTCAACCAATGGCAATACACTTATCAACATTACTGGTCTTGATGCTATGTCTTGTTATATTTTTGGTGTGCGTGCATACACAGACAAAGGACCTGGTGGATGGGTCTTTATTGCTAATGAGACATTGATCAATATTACACTAACTACATGTACATGTACATGTACTCAAGAAGTAGGATCGACTAATACAGGTATAATGATATATGTGCTAAGACAAAAATAATTTTATAATATTTTTAAATTAATAGCATCAGAAGCTGTTGATGGTGCTAGTATTGGACTGGGTGCAGTGGTTGGATTATTATTAATATCACTAGCTGTTAGTATCATTATTAACATCTACTGCTATATCAAGTATGAATACATTAAAAACCATAAAATAAAATTTATTGTTGTGTATGAACAGGCATAAAACCTATGATACAACCACTGCTAAGCAAACCAAGTAAATAAACACTCATAACTGTTTGTACATTACTATTGTTTATTGTTAATGATAGGTTTGATGATGATATACCAATGCAAGCCTGTGAACCATATGGTATTCACAAGACTAAAGATGTTACAAAAGAGGCCGCAGTATATGAGTGTCCTGATGTCAATGTTAATGATACTGCTATTTATGAAACATAACTTATGAAACAGTAAAAACTAACAGTGCAATTAATATACATGTACACTATGATACAACAGTATTAAAAATGTCCATGTGCTTGTTTGTTCATTTTGTATCTGGGTATTGTGACATAGATATACACAAATACATACTTTTCTAGATATACATTACAGTTTTGAGTGTCACTATATTCATACTGAGTCAAATTTTTGCAGTGTTTGTTATTGATTCTATTGATGCTATCTAATCAATAAAGTTTTATACAGTATGATGTTATGTTATTGAAAGGTTCAAACTGAAACTAAGGAAATTCTTTTGAAGACACAATAACAGGAAGTGTTATATAAAGGAAATACTGTACCTTATGCTGGTCCAAATATCCAAGTTATAAATATCTTCATATGCAATAAAATTTCACACACTCAATGCTTGCTAGATGTTACACGTGTAAACCTAAGTTTAATTTACTTTCAAAGATTAACTCATTTCCTTGTGGGGTTCCGGGTTCGACTACTTTTTTTTCTTTAAAATTATAAAGAAGATACACATGTACAAAATAAAACAACCTCATTAACCTGCTTTAATCTATGATAATAATAATAATAATGATAATAATAATAATAATAACAACAATGCAAAAATAAAGATACAATAACAAAAAACAAGATACAAGATCAAAAATATTCAAAAACAAAAAAGGAATGTATTATTAGCTATGAGTCCTACACATAATAATGTATGTACTTTATGCTCCCTAAAATGCAGTGAGAAGAGATTGCCTGTTGGTTTATTATAAGTAAAAACATGCACTGTCACTACTACTGTATGTCCTATTGAAGTTTGTCTATATATCGTGTGCATAAATAATCATCATGTGCTATTAGTGGGAGTGGCTTGATCTGTGGGTGGGGTTTCCTCAGGCCCTGCCCAATCCTCTGATTGTATAGGTGTATCCTCTTCGTTATTGGTGTACCTATTCCTGTAGCTTCCTCCTCGTCCTCTCCCTCTGTAACGTCTCCTCCCTCCTCCTCCTCCTCCTCCTCCTCGCCTACGTCTCCTATCCGTGGGTTCCTTTTCTTCTTCAGAATGGCTCTCAGCTATAATGAGATATTATAAGTATTTTTTAATGAGGTGGTGAAGGTTAGCATACCTTTTTGCTGTTCAGCTTCCTCTTCTTCTCTCTCTTCGTCTTGCTTCTCATCGTTTGATGATTCTGATTCATCTGATTGATCCTGCGGGGGCACTCCTTCCTCTCTCTCCTCCTCCTCTTCCTCCTCCTCGTTCTGTCGTTCATCTTGTGAAGCTCTCCCTTGCCTGGGTCTAAAGAAACAGAAATTAAAACAAATATAATTATTATCACACATTACCTTCGTCTTCGTCCTCCTCCTCTACCCCCACTCCTCCCTCCTCTTCTTCCTCCTCCTCCTCCGCTATTTCCTCCTCCTCCTCTTCCAAATCCTCCACTCCACCCACGTGGTGGATTGGGACGTGGGAAATAAGTGGGCGTGTCATCAAGGCCACTGTCACGAAGCTGCTGTGTGATTTGCTCCCTGTCCTGAAGGATGTTATTGACCTCCTGGTAATATTCATATTCATAATAGCAATTAGTTTCATTAATGAGAGGGTCATACCCTTAAGTGATCAAGGTGGTACTCAAGCATCAGTGTAGCATTTTCAATTGCTTTCTTTCTGCCAAGCAGCTCAAATGGAACCTATAAATATTTTTGAAAATAAAAAAATTATTATAAGTGGACAACTTCCTTTAAAAAAGGCAGCTTAGTTGTCATACCACAGGATTTCCCACAAAGCGTGCTAAGTGAACTAAACAGCATGCTTTATGAGCTGACAAGCACTGCACTATAGTTCATGGCTTTTAGAGTAACTTATAATCATACCTCTCCTTTAGTATTGATCCTTCTCTCTTGAGCCTCTTCGTCTCCAATCACTTTGATATTATTCAGACGAGATTTCTCCAGTATCTGTTGAATGACGTTACCACCTCTTCCTATAACCTTCCCAGCAAGATCCCTTGGAACGTGCATTATACTACGAGTGAATTCTAACAGACTCCGAGCCTCCATTGCTGCCTCTTTAGTCTAATAAAAGAAGGAGAGAGAGAAAGATAAAGAAAGATTATACATGTACATGTACAGTATGTAATATAAGACATAAAAATTATTCACATAAACCATTAAAGAATACAAATGAATCATTACAAAAGTACATGTACATGTATTAGTTTATTCATCAGACATACTTCAGCTCTGACAGTGAACACTGATCCAAAATCATCAAAATCAATTGATATGATCCCTGGTATCTGTCGGGCCTGATTCACATTCCATCCCTGACGTCCCATGGCAAACCCAATACACTCGGGAAATATGTGAAACTTGTCTTCATACAAACCACTGCTGTTCTCTAGGACTGGCTGGGAAGCCTTTGAGAAAGAAAAAATAAAAGGACATTACACAGAAGAGAGATTATATAGATTTATATGTGCATCTGTAGAGTGAGAGAGAAGAGGGAGGTTTGTGGTTACCCCGTGAAGTCTTTGTGCTGCTTTCTCTGCTTTGCTACGAAGAGATGCTTGGGTTGACATGTCACTGAGGTGCATGTCAATCAATAGTTCAGCTTTCTCTAATGATGCTTGATTATCACACTGAGAGAGAGAGAGATAGATAGATATAAGAATTATACTAATTCAAATATTGGTTTAGTGCTATATACATGTATTTCTAGTTTTCTCTACATGCATAATTATTTTTATGCAAACGACGGCGCCAAGATTATAACGTAGTACTCTACATAGCTTATCCAATTAGAGATGACGCTCGACTAGAGGTAAAATGCAAACTGACCCTCACTCCTTTAGCCAAATAAAGTCAATTTGCTCGTGCTGATGTCAAAATTACATGCACAAGTAGGCTATTCTTAGAACTGCTGAGAGTATATCTACACTATCGCTCATCGGCAAACTTCAGACAGAGAGGCATATATCAACCTAGGATTTGACGTGACTGGCCTGCCAGAAGAATCAGATCATGAGCAATAAAGGAGCTAAAGGAGCTGCATATGGAGGACTTGTTGGTGCCGGCAGTGGTGCAGCTATTGGTGCTATTGTTGGATCTGTTGTCCCTGGATTTGGAACTGCTATTGGTGCTGTTCTTGGAGGTTTAATTGGCGGTGTTGCTGGTGGTACAGCAGGAGGAGGAGTTGGAGGAGCAGTTGGCAGTGCAATGGATAAATAATCATTGATCATGACTATTGAGTGAATATTGCCATTGTGCAATGTAACTATTGCCATTAACATTTGAGTAATTTAATATTTTCTGTTTTTGAACTTTCTAGATATGTACATGTACATGTAGCTCATGTTTATGCTTTTACAAGTTTATAACAAGTTCATAAGAAAAGTAGTAAATTTGTTGACAACACAAGAAGTAATAGTAATAATAGCTAGAAACTAATAAGGCAAGGAATCATGAGCTGCCCCTCCTCATTAAAGAACACATCATGTGATGCAAATCATATAGTACAATTACAGCAATCTACTGAGTTAAAGATGGCAGCATGTAACAGTTAAAACTCATCTGTTAATCTAATTCTAAGGAATCAATAAAGCTCTCTTGCACTTATACCTAAATCAATTGGCCCACTATCCTTATAATAATATTCTGAAGTACTGTATAATAGATCCTCTATTATCTGATCCTTGTTTATCCCTACCCTAGATTAACTGGGCTTTGACAAGAACCAGAAGTGATGATGGCAGATCATGGCACAATATAATCAATGAAGAAAAGATAAGTGGAAGGAAGATCCATAATAAATGTAAGATTGCAGGTACAAGGAAATTTGAGGAATACATGCAGACAAAGAATAGCCTACATGCATAATGTATGTGCATGATTGTCACTTACAATTACCACTAGTGACTTCTTGTCAGTATTATAAGTAACACTAATGGCTCCAACTTTACTCCGGAAATTATTGTGCACCTTAGCCTCTTGACAACTGGATATAAAGAGAAAAAAAGGCTATTAAAAATACAACTTGGACAATTATACAATGTAATATGTAATAACTATGTAAGCAACACAGTTAACCAATTTTAGCTGCACATGTCAAAATTTTTGAGGTAAGCATGCAAATTTGAGATTCCTGCTAATGATATTCATTGACATGTTAGTGGTTGATAAATGGATTCATGAGGTTACTTAATACTGTTGTGATAAGGAGAAGTGGAGGAGAATTTCTGACTCACTAGTCTTGTATGTCATCTGGGACTGTGAACTCTTTCTGATAAAACTGAATGGCTTCCAAGGGAGGGCTGATATTAAGCGTGAAAGAGGGAGGAAAGAGAGTGATTATGAAGAAAGAGGGAGGAGGAGAGAGAGAGAAGGGGAAGAAAAGGTGGCAAATAGAAATAAGAGTGTCAGAGATAGAAATTAAATGTATATAAGTTATAAAGATATAGAAATGAGTACTGACTTTTCATTAGGTGCTCTCAGGGACTGTCGTTCCACTAGATCAGTAAAGTGCTTGTCTCCAGACTGAAACTGAATCCCTGCCACCTAAAGTGTACAAGTATACTGTAAAACCAAACCAACTACCACAACCAAGTGAACCAAATACCACATCTCCTCCCCTTCATGAAGTCCATTCATTCTCTCTCTCACTCCTTCATTTCCCTCTCTTCTCTTCCTTAAAGACTAGTTTCCATATAGCCTCTACAACACTGTTTGCAACATTCATGGAGATGAAGATAGGCCCCACTTCACCCGAGGCAGTCTATCTCTACAACCATTGTATGCTAAACCACAGAATATATACAACAGCCGCAACTATATGGAAACCAGGCTTTATTCCTTTGCTATCATCATACCTCTCCTTTGGTCTTGGTCACGGTTGCTAGCCACCAGCCACAAGGCTCTCCTTCCTGGAATGGCAAGAACGCCTAGAAAGAGTTTTCACAACTATTAACACTTTCAGGAGAACCTGGCCCTCCTTTTCTCCCTTCTATCTTTCTCTTTTAGTCAGGCTACCTCTATTTTAGTTCCTGTATTCAACTCCACGTCTTTCTTAGGAGGAGAAGGCGGGAATCTAACATGCTTGAGCTCAACCCAGCTGTTGGGCTTCCAACTATAGCGATAGAAATAAAATGAAGATAAATTGCACTAAAATAAACATTATTAATGCTAAAAAGGTAAAGACAACAGTTTTGTACATGTAGCAGTGTCTTAAGTTTATAAACAACATAATTATACTTTTATAATCTCCCAAAAACAACATTAAATGGAAGCAAGTAAACAGGCAGATAAACAAAAATGACAATATTTATGAGGATATGAATTTCAATACTTTGCAATTATGCGAATAGCTAAATATGTGTATGTTAAAGGTTGTCATGGATATCAATGAATTTCACCGGGATAAGGATAATGATTGTCATTAACATGTGCTAACAGCTTAGTTACAATTAATGTTTGGCAAAACACACTTATTAATCTCTCGCTCTCTCTTACACCCCCTCTCCCTCTCTCTCTCTCTCTCATGTCAAAACATGCCATTTATAATCCCCTTAGGCGATTAACTGAAGGTGAAAATAATAATAAATTTATGATAATTTATAAATTTACATTAAAAAAATCATATCAATTACCCGCCTCTATTCAAACATGCACCATATGTATAATCCCACTATATGTATAATCCTTACTCTTCTTCGAACGACACTAGACATTTTCCTCCATCAGAGTCCATGTCAATCAGTTTACCCTGTGAGAGAGGAAGGAGGGGTGTAACCACTTTCATTTCAACATTTACAAGACGGGGGATGACTTCTCACTTTGTAAAAGGCTCCACAAATATCTGGGAAGATTACTTCGACGTCCATGCTTGCCATAAAAGACTGTATACCCTCTTTGATAAAGAGTAGCCTCTGATACAATCTAACAGATTCTTGAGCTCAAATCGCTCAAAAAGTAAGGCGGGTTGAGCTGCTTAGGAGTTAATTATAAAAGTGGGAGGAGCAAAACTTTTATATGGGCGTGGCTAATTCGACACATGATCTTTATCTTTCTTCTTGAGTTTTGCTGACTTTCTCTCCTCTTTTCATGGCGTCTATTCCCCAAGGTCAAAGGCCTGAGCTATTAGGTCGTGTAGAAACTGGCAAGGATGCTGTAACTGGTGTATTTGCTATAGCAAACGAGGAGGCAGTCATATCTACCAGTGAAGACAAGTAATGTGCCAACATACCCGCCTTCTTAATCCTCATTCCTCTCCCCCAGGACAGTTAAGGTTTGGGTTAAGCGTGACAATGGTCAGTATTGGCCCTCTATTATACAGTCATTTGAAGGTAGACCACCTATTAAATTGGTTGGTATTTTAATTATTAATTTCATTACTTTATAGCTAGTTGTTCAGCATTAGAATACGGTCCTGATAGTGACGGACATTTTGCCTTCATCGGATTAAGCAACGGGCAAATTCACGTGAGTTTGATCTAATAAAGTTAACTCTAAAACAAATTGCATACTTATAAATGTACACATATTTGCTGTATTTGTTAGTGAATGGTGGTAATCAACCATTTAAAATGCAATCAACCATTTAAAATGCAATCAACCATTTAAAATGTATTTTAAAAGTATTGAGCTTGGTTTGTTTAAAGGGACTTTCCCTATTGGATTTATATGTTTTCCAAGGAAGGAGCTATAAAAAATAGTATTTTCTAATGCCCCCAGACTCCGCCCCTGCTTTTATATCACATGTATTTGTATATCTTTAGGAGTTCCACCTGTCAACAGATTTGAACAGATTTGAAAAGAAGAGAGTATATCAAAGTATGTACTATGTTCATGTACATGCATATCCAATTCCAGGACATGCTTTACCCTCTGAATCTGTCAAGACTGTCATGCATATTATTTATTAATGTACAATAGTGTAATGCCACACCTGCTTTGGTGCCGTTTTTAGTAATATGGTTTGGTTTACATTAAAATCTGTTTGAATGGCCCCTGATACAGCATGAGCATCCACTAGTATTATGAAAATGAAGGTCTAACTTCTATTCTACCACAGCTAAACTGTTTTCACAATAGTCATTACTAATGCACATATTTCTTTTTTGTTAGGTCATTCATCTCGTGTCACATCAATCAAAGTTGTACCAAAGCACAATTGGATCCTCTCCGCTGGGAGGGACAAGAGGTTCCAGTGGTCGTGCACAAGAACTGGACGCGACTTGGGATCACATGACGCCCTGGCCTGGTGTCTGGCTGTAGAGTATCCTATTAATATTCATAGTTGTGTGGGTGTGGTTTTGTATTTATTATTAATGTGCACTTTCTATAGTACTCACACTAGGGAATTGGCAGGTGTATCAATGTTTGTTATCTTTAATAATAAACCTTCAGATATGACGAGACGAGCAAGTATGGTTTTGTTGCCGATTACAGTGGTGTCATAACAGTTCTAAGACTAACAGAGAGTGGCTTTGCTTCTGTAACGACTCTAAAGGGACATACTAGTATGCTCAACTACCTCTCCTGTCTCTTCACTTCTTCCTTTCCTCTCTCTTTCTATTTTATATTTTATTTGTTCCTTCTCCTCTTAGGTAGCGTGTGGGCTCTTGCTTACGACAGTGAGAGGAGGATACTCTTCTCGGGAGGTTTTGATCAGACTATAGTGGTATGGGACATTGGGAGTCAGAAAGGAACTGCTTATGAACTAACTGGGCACAAGTTAGTAATGCATATACACACGTTTTTATGTTGATTCAAGATTTTTTATAAATTTTTTAAGTTGCTCCAAAATCAGGCCAAAGTCCCTGTACTATAGTACAGTGTCACGAGCCAAATTTTGTCAAAAATGGCTAGGAGAGAATTCTCAATTTTTATAGTTTTTCCTGATACATATACATGTTCTTATGTTGTGTAGAAAGTTTGAGGTAATTCCGATCAAATTTGGATTTTTTTACGAATTTTTAAAGTTGCTTCAAAATTGGGCGAAAGTCCCTGTACTATAGTACATGGTCTCGGGCCAAATTTTGTCAAAAATGACTAGGAGAGAATTCTTCATTTTTATAATGTTTTCTGATACATATACATGTTCTTATGTTGTGTAGAAAGTTTGAGGTGATTCCGATCGAATTTGGATTTTTTATGATTTTTTAAAGTTGCTCCAAAATTGGGCGAAAGTCCCTGTACTATAGTACATGGTCTCAGGCCAAATTTTGTCAAAAATGACCAGGAGAGAATTCTCCATTTTTATAATGTTTTCTGATACATATACATGTTCTTATGTTGTGTAGAAAATTTGAGCTGATTCAGATCAGATTCGGATTTTTTACGAATTTTTAAAGTTGCTCCAAAATTGGGCGAAAGTCCCTGTACTATAGTACATGGTCTTGGGCCAAATTTTGTCAAAAATGACTAGGAGAGAATTCTCCATTTTTATAATGTTTTCTGATACATATACATGTTCTTATGTTGTGTAGAAAGTTTGAGCTGATTCCGATCAAATTTGGATTTTTCACGAATTTTTAAAGTTACCCAAAAATTTGTCCTATAATAATGCAGAGTATCTCATCATCTTCTACATTTCCTCTCTCTCTCTCTCTAGTGGTAAAATAAGATCTCTTGCCTACTCCACCATTACAAGAAAGCTTATCTCTACATCAGAGGATGGTATGCTAGGCGTCTGGGACATGGACGCTGAAAGAGAAGAGGTAAGAAGATAGATTATATGATTATTAATCATCACTTTGTACCTCTTCTATTGCTAGACTACAGAGTGGGGTGGCTCCAATGTATGCGAGAAATGTAACGTCCCTTTCTTTTGGAATGTCAAGGGAATGTGGGACAATAAGACAATAGGAGTGAGACAGGTCAGAATCATAATAATAATGTTTTCATGATTGTTTAAGATGTACATGTACATGTAATGCAATATCTATAACTTTATATGATACCTACTAATATAATAAGGCAAAGTTTAAGCCACTTTCTAAACATTCAAAAAAGCATTCAATTGTTTTATAAAGTAGTCAAATTTTGGTCACATTAAATTTTTATGCTGCACCATTCTTAATTTTATAGCATCATTGTCGCAAGTGTGGTAGAGCTATATGTGCTTCTTGTTCGGATCAACTCTCGACTTATCCGAGAATGGGTTTCGAGAAACCAGTTCGTATGTGCCAGGACTGTCACTCTTCACTAACAACTGACGAGTGAGTATTCAAATCATGATCTTGTGATGTAGAGTTTTTTTTTATTTGCATAGTCGGAGTCCAATGGCTTCTTTTATTAATATGAAATCCATCGTTACTTCTCTTCATCTTGTCCATACTCTTGGTCACATGGTAACTGCTAGTGAAGACAAACAGATTAAAGTAAACTCATTATCTACAGTTATCATGCACTTTGACACTCTTTATTGATGACTACTACAGTCACAGGGCATTTTACTATAAGTATAATCAATAATTCTGCTATAACTTCTCATTTTAAAACTGATTTGTCCTTCTCTCTCTATTCTTATTTCTTCTCAGATTTGGGACGTTAATCCAATGATGATGAACCACTAATAGTGCAAGAGGTCATCATACTGTATCATATTATTATTATTATTAATTTTGTTTGTATTCCTTACAATGAATGTTTAATGACTATTATATTATGCCTGGTGGCTGCATGAAGACTTTATCAAAATAGATTATTATATTTGATATCTTCTTTTAAATTAAATAACTTAATTCATGATGTATTTCGCATTTAATAATAGCAAGAGTAAATAATATTATGTACTCTTGATAATAGTGCAGTCTATTTACTCTATTTTGCTTCTGTTTATCATTGTATCTGCTGCCAACATTGTAGGAACAATGTAGTAGAGTATGCTGTACTACTGTTTACAGGATTTAAAACACGACATGTTATTCCACTTCTTCAAAATAAACTAAAAACAATGATCATTCAATTCATAATAATAAGAAAATATGCACTTTCATTCCACACAAAATTATATATTTCATATGATATGATATATCAGCAGATTATTTCTCGTTATTTTTACTGTACATGGAGCCATAGTAGTGTCTCCTTAGGTTCATCTTGCAGTTTGGACAGACACAACTGTGTCTACTGAGCCACTCATCAATGCATGATGGATGGAAGATGTGTTCGCATGGGAGCTGTCTAACAATTGTGCCTGTTTTGAAATCCTCTAAGCAAATGTTGCAGGCAGTATGCTTCTCTTGTCTCCCTTCTCCGTATCTTCTTGTTGGTATGACTAGTTTGTCTGCAAGGCTCTTTCGTCTGGCTCTCCTTTTGAAGGACCGTACATTATGATAAATGCAAAATGATAAAAATAAGCATAAGAGAAGTGACACTATAGATGCAACTGCAGGCAGCACTATGTTGACTGGTGCTGAGCTTAATGTTATCTTGACTAAAGTATCATTAGTTATTGGCACAGCAACACGTGTAGTGAACGTGTCAACTGTGCTGTACTCTATCATTCCAATGGGGAATCCTGTTAATGCAATAGAGCCTGTAATGGTCCTGTTTATGTCATTTATCGTGTATGACAGTATTGCATCGTAACCGACAGCTCTGGCCATCTTTATCCTTTCCAACATACACGAACTGTAGTTTCCAAGTAATAGTATAGAAGCTGCATCTTTCCTCGTAATTAACGGAGGTGGTATTGTGTATGAAGAGCAGTCCTTGGTGTTAATCGAGGTGTTGATGTCTTGTTGGTGATACAAGTACCCGACTAGTTCCTTAGGTATATTAGCATAGAGTTTATCCGTACTGCTACTATCTCTGAACATATTGAACGTGTTATTGTAGTCCCCTCTACATTCTACTATTAAATACGAAAAAGCTTCAGAAAAAGCAGTGATAAAGAGGAGCAATGCCAAGCTTAAAGTCATCTTTTTTTGCTGAGATTGCGTGACAATAATAATTATATAATGGCAGGCTATGACGTAACAATGTTTATCTCCCACGCCCAATTATTCTTGGAACAGAATTTCATAATTCATTATTAATTTTTTATTTAAAAAAAGTTGAGCTCCAAAACACAATGAACATTGAACACGCAGTAGTATTATAATGTCAGCTCAAGCAGGTATTGATGATTGGGCTCTTCTACTATCAACAGAATTATCAGAGCTGCTATAGTCAGTTAAACTTCTGTCTCTAGCATTATTTCTAGCTGCAGCCCTTTCCATCTGTCGCTCCTGAAAACGTCTTGAAGGATTACTAGTGGAATCATTATTAGCTTCTCTAAGGTCCATCTTACAAAGTGGACAGACCGAACTGTGATCGCTCAACCACTCATCAATACAAGAAGGATGAAATATGTGTTGGCATGGTAACTGGCGTACCTCCTGACCTGGTTTAAAGTCATCGACACACACGCAACAAGTAGTGTCCCTCTCTGTTCCTTCCCCTGAATACTCTCTCTTGGGAAACTTATCGATTTGGTTTTGTCCAAGAGGAGTCTGAGTTCCTAGCTCGTTCTCCATTTGCTGGAGGTGGTTCAGTATACTTTCAATTAACTCTTGTCTGCTCCGATACCGTGAGCCGTCTTCTCTGAGGAGTGGCTCAAAGGTTGGGTCACGATTGTCCCGATATATTTTACAGCAGAGGCAGCAGAGTGTACATATGCAGCAGAAACAAGAGACGAACGAAACAAAGATGGTGGTTATGACAATGGCTCCACTCAGTATCGATCCATCCACAGTAATACTAATATATGAATAGTCGTAGGTCAAGTTTTTAATGCTATTGACGTAGCGATATTGAACGAGAGCGATAGGGATACCTGTGTTAATGATTGGTTCAGTGATAGTGATATTAGTATCATCGACAGTGTAAGAGAGTATGGCATCATAACCAACCGCTCTAGCTAAGAGCATTCGTTCTAACATACAGTGACTGTAATTGTCCAACAAGAGAATAAACTCTGGATCAGAGCTTATGTTTATAAGTGGTGGTGGAGGAAGAGGAGGACTCAGCTTGTCACAGGTTACGGACGTATCATCGCTCTGGTTGTGATAATTGAGGTAGTATCCATCTGTAGCGCCTTTTTCGTTCAGATTAGCATAGGGGGCTGAAAAAAGGCCGAACATGGAATAGGATTTGACAGAAGGACAATCAGAGTCACAAATAACGCCTATAGTGACTCCACTCAGTACAAAAGGGGAGTATAACAAGACGATGACAAAGACTAGTACAGCTGCCATTGCTACAAAATGATGTAAGCAGTATTAAAGGGCAACGCCCATCAATAATGTTCATGAGACACGCCCAGTAAGCTAAAACATAACAAGTGGGTGTAACTCATTTTTGTGCAGTTCCAAATTTTGATTGCCTGCAAAGAGATAACATGACTTACATTTCGCTATTTTTATCTTTACTTTGCTTTAGTTTGAGTGCAGCACAAGGTAAGTAATATCCTTTAATAGTCTGTATTCAATTCAATCTCTTTGTTGTACAGAGCCTTCATCTTTCCTGTGCTTTGTTGAAGCAAACTGCAGTGTTGGTGTTGAAAGGCCTGTGTACAGTCTGGCTGACTCGTTAGAGTCTTGCTGTGAAAAGTCAGGAATTCTTTCAGCTCTAAATCACAGTGCGAATACATGCTTTAATTGTGCTGGTAAGATGAAATATAGCAAAATTAGAATGGTAGCCATTTAAAATGCTAATTTTTCTGGGCAGGTGATGCTGCAAGGATTACTCCTCGATCTGTTGCACTCTATCCTCCACAGTCACTGGTGTTAGAAGTTGCTGCTACTAGTTATAAATACATTACATGGTTCATAAATGGATCTGTTTCTATTGATATCTCTCGTCTGACACTTGAAAGCAATAGCAAGCGACTTGTACTGTCTGATACAGTGAGTGAAGATGCTGGGGAATATGAAGCAGATGTGCATTTAAATGATGGTACAGTAGTCATCCTGGACTTTATAGTACAACCTTATGGTGAGTCCTCCTTTTGTATTAATAATAGATTAATTGTATTTAATTATGATTAATTATGATTTTCATTATAATTTGTGTGTGTCATATTAATATGCAAGACATTCATGGCTGGAGGTTTGCTGTTGCTTTGTATTAGTTCCTTATACTGGTATTTAATTCCTTATTAATCATATTTATATTCTTTTTTCTGTACACACACTGCATGCAGTTCCTCCCAATGTAACGATCAGTAATCCAACTGAAGGTGACATTGTACGTGATCATGTGAACGTCACATGCACATCACAAGGCAATCCCATACCAGCTGTTAATCTTTATTGTGAGGATTTGGGAACTATTTCTACTTATCCCAATGTTACTGTTGGTGATTTTGGTGTCATACCCATTGCTTCCAGTACAATAGAAGTGGAGGCTAGTGGTGCTGATGGCTTAAGGAGATGTCACTGCAGTGTCAGTGCTTATAATGGCAGTGCAATATATACAGTGAATAGTTCCATTCTATTACTGCCAAGTACGTAAAGTATAGAGTTTTTTATTATTTTTAATTTCCTATTTGCATGCAGCATCTCCTTATATAAAAAAAGATGATACAACCACAGTCTCAGTAACTGCACCAATGAGGTCAGCAATGAGGTGTGAAGCATATGGTAGACCATCACCAGTGATAACTTGGCGATTCAATGGGAATATTCTCACATCAGAGGATATAAGAAGAAGTATACATGGATATTGTTTATTACTAGAACTTTGATTTATTTATTTATAGATATTACTGATTCTGTGAATGGTTATAGAGTTGACTCAACTCTTTTGATTGCTTCAACATCCAGTTCTGATCATGGTTCATATCACTGCACTGCAGCTAATGTGTATGGAAATGCGACTAAGTTGATTACCAATTTGAATGTGCTATGTAAGATAATAAATCTCATTGTCTTATTATTTTTTCCATTTCACAGTTGCACCTGTGGTCACTGCTAGTCCCCATACTTACAATATAAATGTCAATCTTTACAATGAGGTCACATTGACTTGTGTGTCAACAAGTAATCCAGAGTCACGGGTGATATGGGTTGGAGAGGGAGGCGTTTTAAACGATGTCTGTGCCGGTAATTCAGACGATTTTAATGGAGCAGAGGCTGGAATTGAATATTCTCAGATTGAAAACATGTTTCATGATTTCTCGGGTGATTTGGGTGTTGCTTCACCTAGTCCTTCTGCTCACCCAAGAAACTGTACCATCAACATTGGAACTACAACACAAACTTTTCCTGTATCTACATCAGTACTGACACTTGGAAGTTTACTGCATGAAAGCTCAATGAATTTTGTGTGTGTAGGTACCAATGACATTGGTGATTCATTGAGCACAGCAAGTATTAGTCTATCATTAGATGGTAAGTCCTTCTGTATGATAATACTTTATAGTTTAATTTCAATTACCTTTAGCCTCACCATACTTTTCTCAGATCCCCCTTGCTATTCCATCACTTTATGTTGGTAGCACTGTAGAATACAACTGCAGTGTCATTTCAGTGACTCCAGTTAACATCACATGGCTACTAGATGGCATTGTAATTGATGAAGAAATTTTGGAATCAAAAACTCAAAATGAAACGACTTCAACACTTGTTCTGTATGACATTGAAGTACGATTAGCAATGTGGCATCCATATTGCATGTACATATATGTGTATTTTAGGTGGATGATGCAGGCAGATATACTTGCCATGCTAAGAATGATAATGGAACATCAAGTCGAAGCTTCATACAACAAATAAGAGGTATAATCTATCGTAGATCTACTTAATTATTGATTTCATTCCCACAGTCCCAGTATTATCACTAACGACTGATGACAATGTAGTGCAAGGAGATGATAGCATTGAAATGACTTGTACTGGTGAAGGGAACCCTCTTCCAGCAATCACTTGGTCGTATACTAATGAGGTCACAGGAGAGACAAGGAACCTAACGAGTCCGGGCTATACTATTAACACTGTTCCACTACCGGATCACGATTATCAAATTGAATCAGAGCTCATTCTGAGTAATGCAACTGTTGAGAATGCAGGAAAATACACTTGTACTGCTACTAGTGCTTTTCAAGATCAATCTACTAGCACCAATGTTAAAGTTTTAGGTAAATAAATGAATAATTATTATATCTTTTTATTTTTATTGTGTATACATAGTTCCTGCTGTCATATCAGAGCCAAGCAGTGATCAGAAACCCTTTTCTCCTATTCTTGGAGCCACTGATTTCACCATACTCTGTGCAGCTACTGGAGTATCTGCTCCTAATGTATCCATTATACGCTTATCTTCCAATCAGTCTGTTGGGACCTCCATGAAAATGAAACAATTAGATACTGGACTGATACTATCCGAGACCAGTCTGGTATTTAATACAGTCACAAGTGATGCTGAAGGATTGTATGAGTGCCAAGCAAGCAATGAATTGGCTCAGTTGAAACACTCATTTGTAGTATCTGTTGATGGTAAGCATAAAGTACATAATCAATTCATCAAATTCTATTTCATTTGTGCCCAGATAACACGATCTTCAACACTGAATTTCAAGTGATTGATATAGTCATAGAGAGCAATCTCACAATCTCCTGCAATATAACCACTCATGCTTCAGATCCAGTCATTAACTGGTATCATTCAGGAGTGAAACTAGGCACTGATACTGAGAGAGTTTATGCCAGTTCCTCTTCTTCAGTTAGAGATGGTCTAACAACACTAGTCAGCACACTAACTATATCTGATGTGGAAGTCTCTGATGGTGGAAACTATGTTTGTGAAGTAGTCAATACGCATGGTAGCTATAATGAATCTATCAGTCAAGTTAATGTACAAGGTATCCATATGTATGATAATATCATTAATTTACTTGTTTTATAGTTCCTCCTAGTGTTAGTGTGTCTCCATCAAATCTCACTTACATTCAAGGGATTAATGCAAATTTGTCTTGCATTGGTACAGGACCACCATTACCATCTCTTCAATTTGATGGTGTCAACTGTAGCCCATCCAGTGGCCCTCCAATTTGTAAGTTGCTCAATAAAAAAATAATAATTTTATTATTTCCTGCTTTATCAGTGATGCATGGAAATAGATTCAGTGGTCACTGTCAGACAGTTGGTGATAGTGTAATTGTTAGTTTGACTGTCTCTGACATTACAGAATTAGGACCACTGGCAATTGAATGCAGTGCTACTAATCCTGCAGGAGATGATACTGTTTTAGAAACAATATTCATAACAGGTAAATCTATGCTTTCTATTAATAGAGTGTAAATAATTTGATGTTCAATGCAGGTCTTTCTCTTACTGCTACACAACCTGAAAATATCTCTATACCTGATGGAGGCTTCCACACATTTTCATGTGCTGCCCAAGGTTACCCTTTACCTGATATTCAGTGGGGAAGTGAGAATAACCTGTCCTTGAATCATGACATCACGGTTGATCATGTTGGTCAATTTGGGATCATTTCTAATTTAACAATATACAATTACACTGCATCAAATGAGGGAGAGTATCACTGTATAGCTAAAAACCAGTATTATGAACCTGTTTCAAGCACAACCGTAGTATCTACCAAATATAGTAAGCTATACAGATTTGATGTTCGTTTATAATTGCATTTTTTTCTTGTTTTTAGTTGCTCCTTCTATCATTACGAAATTGACTACTGAAACAGTTACTATTAATGATAATATCAGCATTATATGTACTGCAACTGGTCTACCTCCTCCTACTGTGAGTTGGATGAAAGGGGGTATCCCCACAATGGGGAACAACTTGGTTAGTGAAGTTGCAGTTAACATTGATGGAACTCCATCAGTGACTACCAGTACACTGACATTAGCTGGTGTTACTCTAACTGATGAAGGAGAATATACTTGTATTGCAAGTAGCCCTGAGTTCAGTGGAACTGTTGAAAGAATTGTCAAAAATATAACAATAATTGGTAAACAAGAGAGACTGGGTATTCTCATTAATAAATTATATATACTTATACTTTATAGTTCCTCCTGTTGCCTCCATATATCCTTCATCATTGGTTCACTTCATCCCTGGACACAATAATTCCTTGATTTGTGCAGGGACTGGTAAGCCAGCTCCTACTGTATCTATCAGTGGATACCAGTGCTTTTATGGTAAGAGAGGCTATTATAAATAAGTATGACATCAGTTATTATTTTTGTGTATAGCTAATACTCAATCTGAATGGACTGTAAATGGTATAATCATCAGGTGTAATGCACAACAGGTGGGCGGTATCTACAGCATTTCAATGTATTACACATTAACTGAATTTGTGACCGACTTCTCTCCTCATAACGTCACTTGTCTGGCTATGAGCTCTGCATTCGATACAGTAGAGACTGCCACTTCACTTGTTCAATATCAAGGTAAGCATAATAATAGAATGTAATGATGTAAACTGTTTAATTTATTTTGTAGTTTATGAATCAGTGTTGACTCAAGCACCATTTGTCACACTACCTGAAGGAGCCACATTCAACATATCATGTACCAGCACTGGATACCCTCATCCTACACTTGACTGGTTGTACGGTGATGATAATGGAGCTATTGTCTACAATGATAGGCATATTAGGAGTCCTGATGAGCCCATTAATGCTTATACTGTTCAAAGTATTTTGACAGTAAAGGATCTGATACCAGCGGATGCAGGAGAGTACAAGTGTAGGGCTCAATATTCAAGTGGTCACTTGGTTCATGCTACATCACTTGCTGTGACTCCATTCAATGATTGTGCATCTAATCCATGTGTCAATGGGTCTTGTACTGATTTACTGAAAGATTACACTTGCAGTTGTAACAATTTATACATTGGGAAGAACTGTAGCATAAAAAGTAAAGAACATTATTTTGTGCTGTTTTGCTAATGATACTATTCTATTTCTTGGTAGAAAACATTACTTCAGAGGCACCAAATATCACTGAAAATCCGGCAAATGTCACAGAAGCTTTCCTTTTTGGTTCTTTTAATGTTACATGTGAAGCTGTTGCTATGGGAGGCTTTGTACAATATAGCTGGCTAAGGGATAATGTTAAACTGGATGAAAGTGGTGATGTACTATTTATTAGTGAAGCTGTGCCAGAAGACAGAGGATATTACACTTGTGTAGCAGAGAATGAAGCTGGAAATAGCACTTCACAACCAGGACTTGTTGTTATTCCTGGTAAGAGGCAAGACTAGTTATAGGTTAACCAATGACTTGACAAGAGAATCACCACTTTCCCAGATGCATATACATGTTCTTATGTTGTATAGAAAGTTTGAGCTTATTCTGATCAAAATTCGATTTTTTTATGAATTTTTAATGTTGCTCAAAAAGCCAGTTTCACAGGTCATCATTTCTTTAGGACTATACCAGTATGTGGCTGCAATCAGCACCCAAGCTTCCAAAGCAACTGGTCAACTAGTTAACATAGAAAACATTACAGTTGCTGTAAGTATAAAAATTATTTTGGGTCTATTGCAATTATTACTTCTTTAGATGGGAGAATGCCTTAGCTATGATGTACTCCCTGAACAAAAACACGACCATCATCTACTCTGTATCACAGTGTCATACTGCTTCCTGTGCAACAACTAATGGGTTAACACTACACAACATAATTAAAATCGAATATCTTTTTTCTTATTAGGCTTGGCTCAGTTTTGATCACATTGTTTCAAACAGCTCCTCCACTTCAATCGGACAACCTCAGAGATTATCTTTTTAATAAACTAACAACAGATCTAGAGTCAAGATGTGCCGGTCTGGGAGTTCAAGTGACTGATGTGTGGAGATTTGGTAATTAATGCATTGCTTTATAGTATGCTTTAATCTCTGCTATCTTGCAATAGATGGTTGTGGGAGAGAGAGTGAAGTACTACATAGAGACTATGGCATTAATATCACATGGCCTGAATCAGAAATATCTAATGATATAAGAAGAAACTGTCCTTGTGGTAGATTCACTGAGTCTGATACTTATATCAGCGGAGTAGCCTCCCGTCAATGCAGAGGGAGTTACTCTGAAGGAGGGCTCTGGCTTGAATCTGATACATCACAGTGTAATTATAACTCAAAGAATATCAGCATCACTCTCTCATTATGCCACCTGACTACTGTGAGTTTTATATTAACACTATATATTATTGAGTATATTTTATTATTTTTAAATTTTTCTATAGGTGACTGATGTTGCTGAACTTGTGCAAGGTTTGACTGAGCAGTCCCGTTCAGCTTCATTTTATGAGCCTTTGGATTTCACTATTGCTACACTCCTAGCTGAAGATCTTGCTCAAAGTGAAGGGATAGTGTCCAACAGAGAAGTACAGAACGGATATGTTGAAGCAATAGAGAATCTTCTGCTGGCCAATTCAACTGTGGTGAATGCAAGTCAAGCAATGCACGGCTCAGGAGAGAGGTAACTGAATCAGAAGAATATTGTTATGCTTATTCATTGTACTTATATATTTAGATTATTGAGAAGTCTTGAGATCTTTCAAGAAAGAATAGAAATACCTGAAGTCAATGCTAATATTACAACTGATGCTGCTAATGGAACTACTCTGGTAGGATCTATCAGTTTCCAAAGAGACTTGATAGGAATAATAGTCACTAAAGTGAATACAAACAGCTTTGGGAATCAAACTTTCTCCGCAAAATTATCAACAAGAGAAGGAGGAAGTAGAAAACTATCAGAAGTGTCACTGACTCAAGAAAGCATGCAAGGAGACTCCAGTACAGCATCAGTCCATATACCAGAGACACTCATTTCAAAATGTCCTCAAAACTCAAGTGTCAGGATAAATTACAACGTGTTCTTAAGCTCAGTAGTATTTCAAGGACACCCTCGTTCATATTATGGTGAACTAGTAGAATCGGGCAACTTGAATGTGAGCAATGTTATTCTATCAGCCAGTGCCTGTAGAGGCAACTCTATTGAGGGATTGGTGGAACCTGTCATTTTGGAGTTTCCCAAACCAGCAGTAAGTGCAGAATGATCTATGAGTAATATAAGTACCATGGATTTTTCATGATTAATTATATGATTCTATGTACTTTATTTCTTGCTTAGTATCTCCTTGCCAATGGTACCAACACATCAGTGTCAACTTGTGTGTTCTGGGATCCATCCATAAGAGGTATTTGATAATAATTTAAAATTATTATTTATCATTATTTTCCTTTGTAAAAGATGGCAGTGGCGGCTGGTCAATGGGAGGTTGTACAACAGTTTCCAATCAAAACGAAGATGTTGTTCGTTGTCGCTGTGACCATCTGACTCACTTTGGCTATCTATTTGTAAGCAAAAAAATTTGCTAATACAAAAACCATATTAATTTTTTTGTAGGATGTTGAACCTAAGGAGACTGAGCCTGGCCCGGAGACAACTGGTGTAGAAGTCATCACATACATTGGTATCATTGTATCTATACTGTGCCTGGTTATCACTATATTCACATTTTGTGGAGCCAAGTTAGTAGCAGCTTTATTTTTAACTATGATTATTTTTATGATAGAAAACTCCTTGAGCGAACTCATGGGAAGATTGTTATCAACATGTGCCTAGCTCTTATTGGACTCTACATTGTATTCCTCATAGCTGGTAATGCAAGTAGCATCCGCAGTCTCAATGGAGGAGATGAAATATGTGCAGTGATTGGTGCACTTCTCTATTACTTTATGCTAGTGTACTTTATGTGGACAGCCATCGATGCTATTGACTTGTATCGCAAGCTAGTACTAGTGTTTTACAACAGGACTCCATGGTTTATAATCATGGCATGCATTGCTGCATGGGGTAAGCATGCTTCAATAGAAAGTACTTATTGTTTTTATTTTCTATTTATTTCAAAGGGCTTCCATCGATTATCATTGGGATATCACTTGGAGCTGGTTATGACAACTACTTGGATCTTCAGAGCTTGTAAGTTTGCAAATAAATCACTTACAATTGCATAATTCATAAATGCTTTTGCTTTTATTTCAGTTGCCGACCATCAGGACTTCCATTCTACATTGGTTTCCTGGTACCCTTTGGTCTTGTGTATATCTTTGACTGGGCTATGTTCATCTTTATATTTGTTAAGTTCTGCTACAAGAAGAAGGTACACAAGTCAAAAGAAGAGAAGGCATTCTACATCAATAGCAAGCAGCTCTTCTTCATGGCAATGATCCTCTCCATTAACTTTGGTCTAGGCTGGGGTCTAGGTTTAGCAGCCACTGCAGAATTACCAAGAGAATTATACTTGGTATTTGCATACATGTTCAGTCTCTTTGTTGGGATGCAGGGTTTCCTCATTTTCCTCCTTCATTGTGCAAGATCGTCCATTGCACGCAACTTCTGGGTTTATCTCTTCTACATTGTCTGCCTTTGCAAAAAAAAACCTGAAGCTAAGTCAGCCTCTGGGCACAAGCAGGCTACAAAGACACCATTTGTAACACCAGGTCCAAGGAGAAAATTTGACAGCAATGCTAATTCAATGGGCATCCCTCTTAGCTCAAGAGGCTCAAAGCCTGGGTCTCCTTATATCGTTCAAAACCCAGTTCATGGGCTTAGCGAGGCAGAAACAGATTTTGCTCCAGCAAGAGTTTTTGATGAGATTGACTTGCTGCAAGAGCTCGGGCCTTTAGAAATAATGGAGCAAGAGCTAAATAGGGAGAGAGAGCCTGAAATAGAGCCCAAGAAGAAATCAGTGAAAGAGAAGAAAGCATCAAAGAAGATGAGCAAGAAAGAGTCGACGACTAAAATGATCTCAAAGAAAATATCAAAGCTGAAGCTTTCAAAGAAAGAGTCAAAGAAGAAACCAAAAGCTAAGGAGTCACAGAGTTTACTGAAAACGGACGCATCCAAAAAGCTATCAGACTCAATGAACAGTCTTGGGGATATGTCACTGACTGGATCACAGGCTCTTGAGATTGAGTTTGCTCCTAGTGTTGACAGCAGCAGCGACGAAGAAGAAGAGATGAAATGGAGGAGGCTGAGCGAGCAATTTGACAGCATCAATGCAATGGTGAATGAGAGCTTTATTGAAAGCAAAAAGCAGAAAAAGAGAAAAGAGAAAGCCAGTAAAGCATTAGAGGAGAAAGACAAAATAACAGAGGAGGCAGCTATGACAGAAGAAGTAGAGACAACAGAAGAAGTAGAAATGAGAGAGAAAGTAGAGATAGCAGAAGAGACAACAGAAGTAGAGATGACAGAAGAGGCAGAGGCGATGGAGAAATTCGAGGTGCCTGAGATTATTGTAGAAGAAGCAATTAAAGAAAGTGTAGACGTTGCTGAAGTTGTGACTAACACTGAAGAGGTAAATGATAGTGAGAGTACTGGGGGCAACATGGACACAGAATCACAAGAAGGCAAAGAGGAAGCAGAGAGCAAATCCAAAGAAGAAACAATTTCCAATAAAGAAGAGCCTGAAGATGAAGAAGAGGTAGTTGAAACACAGAGTAGAGATGAAAATGAGAAGGAAGAAGAGGATAAACTGGAAGCTCAAGATGAAGGAGAGTCTGATGAAGGAGCCAGCAGTGATGAAGAAGCTGCTCTAGTAGTAACAGTTGAAAGGGAAGAGATTGAAGTGGAAATAGAAGAAATAGAAGAAAGAGCCAGCCAGACAGAGGAAGGTGGGAAAGAAGAGGAAGATGAGGATAACAAAGATGAAACAGCAAGTGAAAAATATGAAGAAAAGTTGCTGTCAAGTGAAAATGACGAAGAGGAAGACTAGTTGATTGAAACTAACTTTTAAATCCATACTTTAAAAAGTAGAGCCTACATGTACATGTACATACAGATATATTTATTTATTTATTGTAACCTACTCTCCTAGTGTGCAGTGATAGTAAAATAATTGTGTCAGTTTTAATACATATTTTTTTAAAAGAAAATTTTGATAACACATGTTTTGAATAGAGTGCTTTAAATAGCAATAGTAATAATAATAATAATAACAATAATAATAATAATAATAATTAATATTGGGTTACATGTACACCGTGTGCCTGATATAATAATGTATTATTAACAAAGTGTACAGAATTAAAAACTCAATCATCACGATCTGCTATCATCATTGTTTTCAATCTTGATTGTTGCCTAAAGTACCAAAAAGTTTATAAGTTAACAAGATTCCAGAGCAAAAAATAGCAAAGAAATAATTCTCTATTTTAAATTACCCTGATGCATTTTTAATAAATATTAATGTCCTTGTGCTATGTAAGAAGTTTGAGCTGATTCTGAGTTTAAATGTTTGAGTTATGGCCATTTAAAAATGGGCCATTTTCTGAAAAATACCCAAGGCTATAGGCCATAGTTTTTTCTGAAAATGGCTCCAAAATCACCCTCAATTTTTATTACATTTTCTGATACATATTGATGTCCTTATGCTGTGTAGAAAGTTTGAGCTGATTCCGACTTAAATTTTTCAAGTTACGGCCATTTTAAGAAAACGTCAAAAATCTGAAAAATACCCAAGGCTATAGTCCATGGTTTTTCCTGAAAAATGGCTCCGAAATCACCCCCCAATTTTTATTACATTTTCTGATACATATTGATGTCCTTATGCTGTGTAGAAAGTTTGAGCTGATTCCGACTTAAATTTTTCAAGTTACGGCCATTTTAAGAAAACATCAAAAATCTGAAAAATACCCAAGGCTATAGTCCATGGTTTTTTCCGAAAAATGGCTCCGAAATCACCCCCCAATTTTTATTACATTTTCTGATACATATTGATGTCCTTATGCTATGTAGAGAGTTTGAGCTGATTCCGACTTAAATTTTTCAAGTTACGGCCATTTTAAGAAAACGTCAAAAATCTGAAAAATACCCAAGGCTATAGTCCATGGTTTTTCCCGAAAAATGGCTCCGAAATCACCCTCAATTTTTATTACATTTTCTGATACATATTGATGTCCTTATGCTGTGTAGAAAGTTTGAGCTGATTCCGACTTAAATTTTTCAAGTTACGGCCATTTTAAGAAAACGTCAAAAATCTGAAAAATACCCGAGGCTATAGTCCATGGTTTTTCCCGAAAAATGGGTCCAAAATCACCCCAAACTTTTATTAAATTTTCTAATACATAGTGATGTCCTTATACTGTATAGAAAGTTTGAGGTGATGATTCTGAATTAAATTTTTCGACTTACAGCCATTTCTTTCAAAATGGGCCAAAGCAAAGGATAGCCCATGATTTAAAATTCCCAGTACTATGCATGTACTATACATGTAGTACAGACACAGGATACTACTGTATTTCACACTAGGAGAAAATTCTCCGATTTTATTATATCTTCTAAGCCCACTGCACACATGTGTTCATTTTCTGTCCTTAATCCTTACCTTTCTCTTATTCTCTTACACCTCGGGCACTCTCTGCTCTGGGAGCAACAGTCTTTATGAAAACAACAGCTGCAAGCTATAGGAATGAAATTTAAATGATTCACACACACAAAAACACACACATTACATTGACAATATGTCCAATACAAACACACATGTACAGTAGATTCTGGTATAATGGGACACTGCCTGCAATTTCAATGACTTATTTTTAATATTTGAAAAATCTCAAGTGCCCCATATCTGATACATCTACTCTCCATGTTCAATATAACGGTACATAAAAGCTTACCTGGACACGAGCTGACTCTCTTCAATTCAAAAGGATAAAGAATGTCTTCCTCATTTTGACAGTACTCACAAACAAACCCTTTACCCTTACAAAGCTAGTGAGAGAGAAAGAGAGAAGAAAAAAAACAGATAAGTACAATAATAATAATTATAATTCATTTAGTTTACTGGACAAGACTTTATGTGCTTCTCAGTTTCTGTTGCTAAAAACTTCAACTGCTTTGACAACTGACCACTTTTGACCTATAGAATAGATACACATACAATGTATGACATATCAATGATAATGTGCTTTATGTACATACGTTAACAAAGTCTTCCATAGAGTAGATGTGAACATCGCTGCCGACAAGGTGACCAAACTGAGTGAATCTCTCGCACAGACTACAAACAACAAGTCAATAACAAAATGTACAAACAATAAAAAGAGGATGTGACATGGGAAGAGATTATAGGATGCTGGCATTCACACACAAGCAAAATGCAAGAGATATAAAGAGAAGAGAGGGAGCAGTGGTAGATATGTCTCTTCCAACTTACTTTGCTGTCTCTCTGCAAGAGAATATGTATCTTCTCATGAATGATATTTGTTCTCTTAAATCCTAAAAAACAACATCATCCCAGAACCATCAGTGCCTCTCTTACTTTAACTTTCTTCAATTCGTATATTCTATAATACAACCGGGAAATGTCAAGATTAAAGTGCGGCTCTTTCTCAAACTCTGCGAGCGTATCACGTGCAAAATTTGACACGGGATACCTAAGAAATTTGAATAGATACTCTTAAAATTTTGACTTCTCTTCCTCTCCCTACTTTTTAAAGTTCCATTTTGACATGATGTAAGCCGGTATGTAACTGAGTGAGTTCTGATGACAAGTCGTGCAGAAATATTTGCCAATGTAATAACAGAACCTTAATAGCTTAGTATGACCTTGAGAGAAAGAGAGAGGAAACGAGAATATAAAAAAAGACAAAAAGAAAGGAATAGTCAACAAAGTAATACACGAGTGAAAACACATACTGATGTCAATTTTGACTCCACAGCCAGCACAGCGATAATTCTGGTCTTTCAATGCAATTGACACATCCCTAATGAAGTACATAAGTACATGTACATGTATCAGTATAACATAATAGCCTAATGGTTGTGAGTGATGTACTTTGGTGGTGAGTACATAGTATGAATGATGGTCTTTCTTGGTGGAGCCCAATCCATTTCACCTCTTATGGTAGTAGAATTCTGAAAACATGGAAGGAGGAGGAGAGAAAATTGTATAAAATTGCAATAATAATAATAATAATAATAATAATAATAATAATAATAATAATAATAATAATAATAAGGATAATAATAATGATAATAAATGTAACTCACAGCAACTGAATGATGCAACTGCTCTTCTCTCTTTATTGATGCAATAAAATCAGATGGGAGTTGCACAATCTAAATAAAATAAATAAATAAATAAATAATGTTAATAATAACAACTCCCCTGACCTGTTCTGGTACTCTAAATTCGACAGACGAGGCCCCACCCAACACTCTTGATATATACTGTAACAGTCCGTGGGCGGTGCTCTCTGCAGTGTTAGTCATCATCTGAGAGTCGACCAGTCGCAATAAACTGACGTCACGTGACGGAACGGGAGAAGGAGGAGTGGGTGAAGAGGGCACTAATTAGAAAAAAAAGATATGTTAATACGGACCCCAAATTGATGTAGTAAAAGATGAGGAGTAATTTTTATTTTGATGCAAAAAGTAAAAGGAAGTCTAGTCTGTCGTTAGCGAGAAGTCAGGTGACAATCACACCTGGTCACGTGAGAATCACAAGACTAGTTATTACCTGTTGGACTTGTGGGCGTGTCTGTCCGAGACAGGTACGGGAAGGAGGTGGTTCTGTACGGAAATGGAGAGGGAGGAGGATTAGGATGAGACGGAGTTGATGGAGCAGACGCGAGGTCAACAGAATCGCGATCAGGAGAAGCAACAAGTGCCAAATGTTCGTCATAAGCCTGCTCACGTAATAAGGACTTGTACTAACAGTTAGGGAAGGAAAGGAAGGGGTTATAGATACAGTATTATTATTATAACATTATTATTATTATTATTATTATTATTATTATTATAAAAATAGAATAAAATCGCATTGATGATCTTACTTCCTCTATAACAGAAATGAGTGCCTCACTAAGTACAAAGTGATAGTTCTCTTTGCTCAGCTCATCCTGTAGCTGGAAGGTGTCCTTCATAGACTCAAAGAATCCATTACTACTACCACTGCTGCCACTAATACTGCTACCCTCTATAATAACAACAACAGACCGTCACATCACATGATTAGTACAAGCAATACAAATAAAGAGAAAGAGTGAGAGCTAGTATGAATACACTTATGACTTATCAGTGACATAATAACTGCATCTGTACTCAAAAGAGAAGAGAAAGGTCACAGAGATGCTATCTCTCACCCACTGTGTATAGACAAGTCATTTACAATAAGAAAGCCTACTCTTAGTCCATATTTGGACATCAACAAACTATAGCTGTCTGGTTCGTATATACTTCCATTAAAGGGATAAGGTGAGCTGGTTCGCTAGGAATCAGCTGCTGTGTGCATAGAGCATTATTGTAGGCTTCCCTTCTTCCCTCCCATTTCACATGAAATTGAAATCTGAACTCTATTCCTTTGTCTAAACTCTCTTATCATTGCCATTAAGCCGCCATTATTTTAATATCAGCTGATAACGTAATATTAACACATGCCCACAGGTTAACTTTTGCATGTACATGTACATGTACATGTAAGAAATGGCCCCTGCAAAATAACAAAATGCCAACATTATTATCTTTTGATAATAATAATTATAATAATAGATGAAGGAGGAAGGGGAGTGGAATGAAACCACATCAGACAAAAACAAGTGACATGTTGAGGGATTCTCAAATAAACAAAGCGTAAAGGAAGGACTTCTTCCAAAATGTGTATAAGGAATGATAACACGATGTAGTTGAACATATATGTGTATTACTATCAACATTATGTATACAAAATTTCATTTATTATTATCATTACTATTAACTCTATGTACACATACATTACCTCTAGTGAACAGGCTCTGAGATCTTCCTCTCTCAGCTCCAGCTGGTTTATTCACTACGACTCTATTATTAGCATTGGAACTGTAAGACTCGGCCCTACCGCCAGGCCTCACTGTACTGGCCATTCTCTTCATATCTGTAGAATAGCTTCTCTTAATACCGGGTCTCTGTACAGTTTGAATAACAGTTTCGTCATCCGGAGCATAAAAATTATTCGATTCTTCTAATGAAAGACGAGGGAAGGAAGGAGAGGGAAGTGTATCAGACTGCTCGCTGCTAGTGTTACTGGTCCCTCTCTCTTTTCTCTTGGTTTCTTCGTCGTCTTCATCTGATCCATCCTCCTCCTTGACTAGCTCTAGTTCTGAGTCTCGGACGCTAAACAAGCTACTGGGTACTCCGCTGTTAGGACCTGTTCTACGAGAAGAGGAGGAAGAGGTGGAACCTATGCTATCCGATCTATTGCAAACTAAAGCAGCTGTCGCCAAGTCGTCGTAGCCACTGTCAGGTGACCCTACTGCTTCAGGTAGTGAGGCAGCGGCTGATAGCTGCATGACTTGGAAGACATTAAGGACTCCGTCGTCACCTGTGGTCCGTGAGGTCAGAGTGGGAGAGTGGTTACTGGGTCTTGAACTAGCCGTGGGATTGGTAGAGGAGTGAGTAGGAGAAGGAAGAAGGGGAGGAGGAGGGAGAGGATGATAACACTCCGTGTTTAAGGGAGGATGGACGTTAGGAGGAGGAGGAGGAGAGAGAGAGCGAGGGCCCGAGTGCGACGAGAGTAGTATCCCTTTCTGTCTTAAAGTCTTATCTCGTTGATTAGCTTTGGGTTTCCTCAGAGTAACGCCATTAGAGGACTCTCTCTGTACTTGCAGAAGAGTCTCTTTGGCAGCACTGGAGCCATTAGGTGGGGGACTAGAATATGAAGAACTACTCGTGGGCAACTGATGGTTAGAGCCAGAAGAGTGATCAGCTGAAGAAAGGGAAACAGAGGCTCTCTCTAACCGCCCAAACTGTGGTGGTGGAGGAGGAAGAGCAGACGGCTTGGCCGCCATTTATTTGCCTTTAAAGACAAAGGAATTTAGTACCTAAAACTATAAACTTTGTTGACGAATGACAGCCACCTCGACTGAGAGGGTAAATAAGAGGCAGGGAAAGAATAGGAGGCAGAGGCGTGCACCAGCAAAGCAAAGACCGTCTCCTTTAGTTTGCTTTTTGTCTCATGATAGAGCAGTACAGTATGGTATAAATGATCTTGTGAGACGCACAATTAAGAAAGGCGTGGCCTAATACAAACCACGCCTTCTTGTGAAGAATCACACTGGGTGTAGCTGAACACCTCATGGCTGCAAACAACAAGCCTTCTTCTCCTTTACGAGACAAAGTGCTGCAAGCTATAAAGGACCAGAATGGTCTCCTGTTTGCTCTCCCTGCCCTTGTTGGTCGTAATATCTATGCAGGTCGTGGGGTCATAGCTCAAAATACCGATTTCTCTCCATCTCTAGTAGATGCTAGAGGCTACGTCCCTGTGGAATGGTGGATCATGTCTAAAACAGTTGCAAAAAACGCTGTACCACTTGAAAACGAAGGAATAACATCAATACTAGTTGCTGGAGAGCCACACCCACTACCCTCCATCCTAAAAGTAGCTTCTGAAGAGCTTATGGGCCCCTATGAATATGCTTGGCCTCTCACTAAAGTACTTGACATTGGAGGCCCTCCTCAAGTACCTAAATACAGCTGTCAGGGAGGTGAGGCTGAGCCTGAAGTACCTCCAATACCGTGCCATGTGCATGCAGGTGAAGTCTGCAATGGTGCTTGCATTGGTCCTGGTAAAACTGAATCTTATTTCTTCCCTCCTCTCGATGTCCCACCATACAATCTCTCACTGGGTACCATTAAAACCCGGCTGGGTCTCAAACCAGGGACAACGAAGGAACAAGTCTTGGAAGCCCTGCGTGCTTTCGGTCGCCACGATGACATGTACTCCCTCCTCAATGTGTACCACATCAACCCATGGGAGACTTGGTTCATAGAAGAAAAGATAGTGCATGCTCCCGGCCCGTGGACAACCTTTGAAATCCAGCGACCTCAAGATGACTACAATCTGTTGGCATGGCAGCTGGGGAGAGTGCTACCTGAGAAGGACGTTGCACCAAATAAGTGCGACCATCAGTTGAAAGGATTAACGGATGAAGAGGATCTATTCAATAACACCATCAATCTTCCTGATAATACGGACCCGGAGTTCAAGGAAAAGTATTGCAGGAAGTGTGAGACACTTGCTGAAGGTCCCTGGGGCCGACAAATCCGTCTTTTCTACCATTTGTTTTATGGAGAGGGTTTCATCATAAAACCAGGCGCTACGTTTAAACGTGAGGGAGATCAGCGACCATACGCTGGTATTGTATGGACCGGAGAGGGAACCATTAATGGGCTCAGTGTTGGAGTTGATAACAAAGAACGAAGAGAATTCCTGATCACTCCTAAATCAAATATTGAGATCATCAACACTAGTACTCAGCTAGATCTCATGATATTTACTGTTTTCCCTATGAACCTTTAGAAGTGTCATGTACTAATGCATATACACTGCATTGATTGATTGATTTTTGTTGGCATGTTAAACGTTGCTACATTTTCTTTTATATAAATTTGATAATTATAATAATAAGTGAATGGCTTGCATACATGCTGCACTAAGAAGGTGATGTGGTTTAAAACAATAAAATTATGAGCTATCCTGTCTTTGCTTGATTTTATTTCTCAGCATCTATAAAAAATAAGTTTGTCATTGTTGTACAGTCTCTCTCTCTCTCTCACCTGACAAAAGAGCTTTGCTTTCTCTCTATTCTCCTTTTGTCTCTGGTCATCTCTGTTCTTCTCTTGAGCTTCCCTGGAAGATACTTTACTGGGCATAGCAGGCCAAGATGAACCTGAAAGAATAAAATGTTAATTTATGACACATAAAGTAAGAGTATATGTACCCTTGTGAATAGAAGGTGGAGTGTGTTTGATGGCATTCTCCCTCTCTTCTTGCAGGACAGGGCTAGAAAATGTCACCAGTTTTGCAGACTTTGATTTTTTAGTTTGATTCACTCTCTCCTTAGATTTCTTTCCTATATCACTGACTCTGGTCTGTGACTGCTTAATGAAGGACTGTTTTCTGCTCTTAAATGCCTCTTGGAGTGATAAAGAAGAAGACAGAGATGGAGAAGGAGGAGAGTGAATGAGTACATTAGTTTGAACTGAAGTGGACCTCAATAATGGAGTAGTATTAACAGAAGAACCAGCTCTATCTTGAACAGGCAAGGGAGATTCCTCTGGACTATCAGCCCTTGAGTCTTGAAGACTGACAAGTAAAGACTGAATAAACTCGTTGCGTTCTTGTCTGTCACCCTCAGATGCTACTGGTGTAGAACTATTAGCAGAAGCTATCACTGGAGGAGTGTGAGGTGACAGTGTTAATGATAAATCAGGTGAAGTACGAACATGTGGTGAGTGTGTTACATTTGAGCCAGGAACAGTTCCAGATCCTCCTATCATTAGTGATAGATTATGTTGAGTAGTGGGTGAAGTTGAGTGTGTAGCTACTGGTACAGTGGTGATATTTTCTGGTACAGTGGAATGAACTACTGAGTGAGACTGCATCTCTGAATATAATAATGGTGGTTCAAAAGGTTCTGTACTTGATCGCTTTATATCAGGAGATATGGTTCTATCATCAGTTTCTCTGATATCTGCTTGTAATAAAGAAGGAGGTGGAATTGTGATAGAAGAAGTAAGTGTTTGATTAGTAGGATATTGAGTATATACTACTGGTGGAGGGTATGTAGCTAAAGGAGTGTACATCATTGCTGGTGTTGGCTGGGAGCTATGCTGCTGCTGGTAGGCAGCAGTGGGATAATAATAAATGGGATAATATGCTGCTGGTTGTTGTAAAGGAGCCTCATTAATACTGTTATCCTCTTCTTCTTCTGTTTCTTCAATAGTTTCAATGGTGAGTTCAGGAGGAGAGGAGGAAGGAGAAGGAGAGGAAGAAGAAGTAGAAGTCGCCTTATCAATGTCCCTGCTAGTAGCAGGTGAAGTAGCTGTTGTATTATGAGCACTACTATCAAGTGGACCTTGATGACTATAAAGAAATAATGTTAATACACACATGAATGTATCTATACCTGCTAGATAGTGCCGAAATAGAGAGAGATTGGCTAGTCTTCTCCTCTCCTCTTGCTTCACTTACTGAAGATACATCATTACTAGGAGAAGACTCATCAAGGCTCCTCTTGTACCAGGCATCCTGCTGGGTCCTGATCAAACCAACCAGTTTTGATATATTAGTAGCTACAAAAAAGAAAGGCACAAGCAATAAAAGTAAATATGCATACTGATACACATACATTGTGAAGTTGAGCTAGTAGTGGTAGTATCCTTGGGTGGACGTATAGTTGAAATGGTTAAAGAAGGACCTTCTTCTTCTTCATCTTCATTGTTAGGATCTCTACCTTTACTATTACCCTCTTTCTCTCTTGGCTCAGTGATGCTCATTGATTGGAAGGTTGAAGGAGTTAGTGATTGTATGGTCAGATCCAATGGATCCTTCTTAGTAGCAATAGGAGGAGGAGGAGGAGGAGGAGTACAGTGAGTGGTGCTCATGTTATCAGACTTCACTGGAGAAGGTGAACAAGAGTCTCTTCCTGGCAATGTAATCTCTGTTGCTCCTCCTGCTGTTCTTCCTCCTCCTTTTCTTTCTATTTCTACACTCTTCATCACTATATATAATACAATAAATGATAATATGTATAATAATTAATGTAGCATACTTGAAGTTTGTCTTGTCTTTGTTAGAAGTTTCTCAAACTCATGCTCCAGTTCATATTGTCGCATTTCTCGCTCTTCAATTCGTTGCTGGACTGGCTGAAACAGGTTCGTCTGACAAAGAAAACAAGTCAACCCTCATCCAATCTTACCTCCTTCTATAGCACTCTCTCTCTTCTCTAACTAACCGGAAGGTGTTGTAATATCTCTTGCCTGTGAGTCCTGTCTTCCCTAGCTAATAAGCTAAGATCCTTCAGCAATGCTGTCTTGTCCTGTGCCCAGAATCACATTTTAACATTCCATAAACTATAATATCAATTTACTTTCTCCAGTTTAACTTGAGCAAGTGCATGTTTGTGTCTCAGTTGAGCTTTCACTTGCTGCTCATCTCTCATAACTGTCTGTTGCTAAAAATATAAAAATGCATTATTACATTGTCAAATTTTAGGGTAACTTCAAAAATTCGTAAAAAATTAAAATGTCATCGAAATCAGCTCAAACTTTCTACACAACATAAGAACGTGTACATGTATCAGAAAAAATTATAAAAATGGAAAAATCTCTCCCAGCCATTTTTGGTGAAATTTGGCCAAAGTCCCTGTACTATAGTACAGGGACTTTGACTCGATTTTGGAGCAACTTTAAATATTCATAAAAAATCCAAATTTGATTGGAATGAGCTCAAACTTTCTACACAATATAAAAACATGTATATGTATCAGGAAAAATTATTAAAATGGAGATATCTTTCTTAGCCATTTTTGGTGAAATTTGGCTGAAGACTCTGTACTATAGTACAGGGTCTTTACTCAAATTTTTTGAGCAACTTAAAAAATTCAGCACATCTCAATGAAAGACATCTTGCTCCAATAATAGTAATAATAATAATAATAATAATAATAATAATAATAATAATAATAATTATTATTATTATTATTATTATTATTATTATTATTATATGCACATGTCCTTACTCTCTGATGTTCTTCTTCCTCCATTAGTGCTTGTTCTGCTGCTTGAATAGCATTAATCTGTACACATGAATACAAAATGGAGTACAATACAATTTCAAAATACATTTACATACTTCATATGGAGTAGCCGTGGCTTCCCGATGGACCAGATTATCAGGAAGGTGAAAGTAGGTTGATGCAAATCCTTCTACGCCTTGAACCCTCCTTGTACTAAAATTAGAAGAAGGGTTAGCCTCGAGATCCTAAAAATAGGAACATAATACATGTATCTCTTATCAATGCTCTGCAAAATTATAAAAATAATTACCATTATGAGCAGCGATGGCGTTTTGAGTTTTCTCGTACTCATCAGTTTCGCTCTCTCCTTTTCTGTAGCAAGGGCTTGATTACGAGTTAAAACTGAATTGTCTTTTTCTGCCCTTTTCATCAACTGGCTATCTATTAACTACAATATAGTAGAAATACTTTGTTACTCTTTAGTTTCTTAAATAGTCATCTTCCCTTACCTCTTGCATTGCTAACGCTTGTCTTTTCTTAGCAAGAGCTCTACAATTAAATAAATCAAGAGTGATTGTCCCAATCTACCGTACCTTTGTTGAGAAGAGAGAAGCAAACGAAGCTCTTGGAGTCTACGTTCTTCCTAGATACAAGTACAACGTGACTCGGACTATTCTTATCTCTTACCTGTTCAATATTCTGAGCATCACGTTGAGCCTGTCCTACTTGTTGTCTTCGGGCAGTTAAAGTTTCTTCTAATTGACGTAATTTTTCTTCGTGCTCTCTCACTAAATTATCCTAAACAATATTAATGTCTTGTCTCAATTCTAAATTGATACACAGTTGTGGTAATAGTAGCAGGTGGTGGGAATGCCGCAATTGATGATTAAAAATACTTTAATGTGTTGCTCCAATATCTTTCTTTCCTCTTCTTTCTTCAAACGTACATTGTTTCTCATTTGACGGGCAAACTCTTTCTCTTGCTCTCTAACCTTCAAGGCAAACACAAAATGTTACACGTACATTGGTACATATATTAGATTGCTGTCTAACTTGAAGTAATCTTATTTTTCTTCTCTCTCTCATTTCTTTCTGTAGCAAAGCTTTCTATTTTAAGGATCAAAAATAGATTAGATTATTTTCTGTAGTCATTACCTGCTCACTAGGACTTAGTTTAAAACGACCACTGCCAGACATGGTTTGATGATGATGATGATGACTTGATTCAGATTCACTTCATGTTCTGAGATTGTTCTCAGTTTTCCCGCCCATTTTTAGTTTATTAATTAAACTTAATAATAATAATTTATTAATAACTAATAATTAAATACTTTATGACACAAACAGACATGTAGGTGTAAATAATAACTACAAATAGATAGATTAAGATAATTGGCCTAGGCAAAACAAAAATTTTGTAATTGCACACAAAAATTTAATTATAACAACTCAATAGTTGACAATCGCCTAGCAATATTCAAGTATTAAACACTGCGAAATAAGGGCAACACTTCTTCATGGATTGCCAAGTGCAGGGATACATGGCCTTGGCAGGTTTTTTCCAGTCATTTCAATGGTCTTGCAAGTTAGCAACAGCAGCTTCTCTTTACATGACAAAGGTGCAATTACTACATGTGTGTGGGTGTGCCATGGTGCGGAGTGACAAAAGCAAAAATCAATCCAAATTAGTATTAAAAATAAAGCTCTCACCATTTTTAATAGTAACAGTGGCAACGTTGGCCATACCAACATAATATGCATGAACATTAACAGGTGATGTGATAATTGTTAATCTAAAACTCTCATCAGTTTCACTATCATCATTAAAGGGTATAAATATATTAGTGCAAGCTGTTAGTTGACCACTCATAGAATCTATAACTATCTGATCACTGGCAATGAAGTCTACCCCACGAACTATAGAAATGGAAAAATTAAACTAGATTTATCTATAAATGCACATGCATGCCTGCACTTATTTCTTCAACTTGAATATAAACCAAGTTTTGGACTGATATGTGACTACCATCCTTCACAACACAAATTTCTGCTGACTCTCCCTCATTGACTGTTATTGATGAAGACTGAAATGTATAAGTAGCTGCATTTGCAGCTAAAAGTAGAAAGAGAGAAATAGATATCAATCTAAATAGTAATATTAGGCTTGCTAACCAATGAGTTGAAAGAGCTGCAAAAGTACAATCAAATACAGCAACATAATTTTCTATCAGCAGCAAAATATCCAAATAACAGCTACACTGAGTGAGAGATGAAATGACCATCTCTTTATTTATAGATAAAGGAAATGAGCAGTTAATAAGTTGTTAGTACTATGTTCAGCTATGACCTGCCCCTTTTTGCACATATGTAATGATTCTTCTGATGTATCCCATTCTTCACACATACAGTATGTGAAGAAATTATAAACACACTCCCAGATTGCCATCTACTGTTTTAAAATGTTTTTTTTTCATATTCTGAGTGATAGGGCTGCCTGTAAATAAAATACATGCACTACAATTATGATCTCATAAAGCAGTTTGAATGTCTATGAAGATTTAGATTGGTATAAAATGTCACAGGAAGGCTTGTGTTTTTTCCAATTCTTCACCTGGCATTCTCTAATAAGAGAGAGAAAAGAAGAGAGAACCGATTGCTTCCAAAACTCTCTCTCCTTACCTAGAACAATACCATTCACTACAGCATCTTGAGCATCTCTTAGTAGCTTCACTGCCACAGAGTGCACACTTTGGTGGGCCATCAATCAATGTATCTAATACACCACTGCTATACTGATCCACCCACCTTAAAGACAAAACAATAAAATACTTGTTCCTCCTTCCAGTCCTTTCCTTACCTTGTAGCCTGTGTCTTTAATATCTCAGGGTCTGGCTCTAATAAGATCTTGCTTTGTTTACGAGCGAATTCGTTCCATTTCCCTTCCCCTTCTTTCATAATTCCATCATACAAAACAGGAGCCTGTGTATGTATGTGTGTACTAACTGAATGGGTGGACTCTGATAAAGGTTTTACTTGCTCAAGGATGAGTCCGGTATTGGCGGGAGGTGGCTCCATCAGTGACAGCTGCTGAAGGTAATGCTGGAGTGTGGCTAATGGAGGGATTTGCTCTATAACAGGATCAGTTAGATAGCCTCTCAACTAAGAGATAAATAAGTAAAACTAAGAAGATACTAATTATGAAAGTGCACCTTTAGTATATGTTCTTTCTTAAAAGGCGTGTATTCATATTTGTTTTGACTATGCTCCCCAAGCAATAGCTGATACAGTGTCAGCCATACCTAGCAAGTGACAAACTCTCTTCCTTTTCTTCTTCATTAATTACTCACTTGTCCTTCCACTTTTACAAGTTTCAGGTTACAACTTTGCTCAATTTCCTGCCACTTCCCGTCTTCATATTTTAAAGTCTTACCTAAATAGAAGATGGAGATTTTCTTTCTCTCTCTCAGTCTCATGAATACCTTTGCTGCTGTTTTTAGTCCAAGGAGATATTTGAATAAGATCCACCAACATGCAAGGAAAATCTGAAATTGTTAATGACACATAAATTAAATGATATAAAATTAGTCACTTGCCATGAGTATTTAGCAATCTGGTTGCAACACTTAGTGGGAAACTAGAAAAAGAGAGAGAGTCAAGAAGGGAAAGTGAGTTCACATGTGTACTTCTTCAAATGTCCAGTGATATAATGTACAATTGAGATGCACTTCATTTGTACATTAAATTCGATAGTCTCCTTCTGCCTTACTAATTCCTATACAAGAAGAAAGAGTAGCAGGTGTCAATCATCAGAAGCATACCTCCTTTATAGAGGTATCAGATTTCTGTGCTTCATCATCATTGGATCTATGTTCTTTACACGAAGCAATCAGTTGAGATATCTTTCTATAAGGGATGGCACATCTGAGACTAATACCTTCACTACTTATACCTTCACCAACCTGTAGCAGTAATCAAGAAGATCTAATACACTTTCATCCAAGCATTCAACAACTTCCTAAAAAAATAGAATGAGTACATAAAATAGGTCATATACTTGATAAAAGATTACAACTTCCAACAGACAAATGAGGACAGTTTCATGATAAAGCTATACAAAGGTTACAAAATGAAAATTTTTTATAATTAAAGAGAGAGTGTGACATACCACAAGATATGTAGGAAAACTGGTGGTAGGTGATGGCGAGTATTTAAACAGAAGAGGAAAAACACGTCTTTTCCACACGTCAATAACCAATAGCTCATGAATTAGCAAGTTTAACTAATTGAAAAATTCCATGATTAAATTAATCAAGTGTGTGGGTGGTTCAAGGCATGTTACACCCTCACTTTGTTGTATGAAATGAGATAATCTTTAATGAACTCGTCACTGTTTTTTGAAACATTTAGTACAGCTTGCATTGATAGTTTCTCTAGTCTTTCTCTCTGCAATGACCACCTATAATAAGTTAGCAGTGCTTTCAATAATACAAATATATTTATGAAATCCACACTTCTCTGAGCCAATAGACGCCAGATTCATCTGTTTCAGCTCTCCAATAAACGCTTCTGCTTCACTGGAGAACAAAACTTGACCTCTAAAATCAAGAATAAATCAGAAAAGAATTTTTAAAAAGCTTACCCGCCATCCGCCATCTTTCTATGATTGTAGGTGTGCTTTAATGGGCGGGGTCACACCTGTATTTTCCAATTAATGCGCATACAAAGATAAGATGTTAGCTGTGCAAAGGTCAACTCGTTTCCTTGTTTCCAGTGGACTTCCAGCCTGGAGGAGGTGGGTAATAAATCTCACTGTATCTTTATGCTCTCCTCCATCTCTTTAGCTTTCACCAGCGCTCAAATGAGGTGCTGATAGCGAGTGCAGTGAGGACTCCTGTTGGTAGCTTTAGAGGCAAACTCTCTTCCCTCCCTGCAACCAGACTGGGATCCATTGCCATACAAGAGGCAATCAATAGAGCTGGAATAACACCTGAAGATGTGAGGAATAGATAGATAGACATTGAATTACATTCATTTCATTTTAATACAATGTATTTCATCCATTCACTCCATTCATTGAATAGATTATTTGTATTGAAAGTATTGCTTTATTGAATGCTTCTTTTTAGGTCCAAGAGGTCTATATGGGCTCTGTACTCACAGCAGGGCAGGGCCAGGCTCCAGCTCGTCAGGCCACACTGGGGGCTGGGCTCCCAATCTCAACTCCATGCACAACAGTGAACAAGGTATGCGCCTCCGGAACTAAGTCAATAATGATGGCAGCCCAAGCACTCGCCTGTGGCAGCCAGGACTGCATGATAGCAGGTGGAATGGAGTCTATGAGTAACGTCCCGTATTACGTACCAAAGGGACGACCTGGTTTTGGATACGGGCACCAAACGGTTGAGGACGGGATCATAAAGGACGGACTATGGGACGTTTATAATCAGTTTCACATGGGAATGTGTGCCGAAGACACTGCAGAGAAGTATGAGATTGGTAGACTCGAGCAGGATGAGTATGCCATGAGGTCGTACAGACTAGCAGCCCAAGCCTCCGAGACCGGACTGCTAGCAAAGGAGATAGTGCCTGTCTCGATACCTCAGAAGAAAGGAAAACCTGATCTGGTTGTTGAGCATGACGAAGAGTATCTTAAAGCCAACTTTGAGAAATTTCCAAGTCTTAATCCGGCCTTTAAGAAGGAGTCTGATGGCGGTACAGTGACAGCTGCTAATGCCTCGACACTTAATGATGGAGGAGGGGCCTGTGTACTTGTGTCAGAGTCATTTGCTTCCTCAAAAGGTATCCAGCCTCTTGCTAGGATCGTTGGGTTTGGAGACGCTGCCGTGTCTCCTATAGACTTTCCTACTGCACCAGCAGCTGCCATTCCTAAAGTCCTTGCGTCTTGTGGGCTCACTACAAATGATATCAGTCTATTTGAGATCAACGAGGCATTCTCTGTTGTCGTCCTAGCGAATATAAAGATACTTGATCTTGATCCTGATCGTGTTAACGTGCACGGAGGTGCTGTGTCGCTGGGTCATCCGATTGGAATGAGTGGTACACGAATTGTTGCACATCTCGTCCACAATCTACAGAAAGGAGAGAAAGGGATGGCGGCCATTTGTAATGGAGGAGGAGGAGCAGCGGCCATTGTTGTGGAAAAACTTTAATATTAAACTTACTTGTTGTGTATATTCATTGTAGCTCAATAGCAATTACTGTTTCACCTTTACTAGTAAAAATAATTATTACTTTAAACTGAAATCTAATACAATCTCCTAATTTTTGTGTTTAAAAAAATACTAAAGCCAAAAACTATAAATACTAATAACAACAATAATAATAATATTCACACAAAATTAATAGTTAAACTAGTTTCATTGCTAACTCCACACAGCACACAATGTCGAAGGTTCTATTTATAATGATACCTCACGAAAGGTATCTCGTCGAAGTCATCATTGGAAATGCTAATAACAATGACCATGCTGCGCTGAGATGGGGGCAGGTCTTTTTGAGATGCTTCCTTAGCAACCTCAGACACACTACATAAGATAAATGAAAGAAAAAGAGAGAAAAGAGAGTAGAGGAGGAGAGGGGAAAACAAAAGATGGAGGGAATGAAGAGGATATTGTCTCTCTATCTTACGCCATAGTCTTTCTCCTCTCCACTTTCTCCTTATTCATCATCACTGAGTACATGATAGCATTCTCAAAGTTGATCATGAAAATGTCAAACTTCTTTTCATTCTGTGAGGAAAAAAGCATAATATAAAATAGCTCTTTTTAATGTAATAATGCTCTTTTATCTTCTTTTATACCTCGAAGTAATTAATAAATTCTCCTAGTGTCATTTCAGATCCGTCGTCTTTCTTGCCTTGAATATCAAACCTATCCCACAGTGTCCATTCTATATCATAATACTAAAGAAATGTAATCAACGCTGTTTTCTGTTTTCCCTCTCTCTCACTTTCTTCTTTGGTGCTGGCATTGGTTCTGAGAATGCAAAGAAAGGGAGTGCCAGGTTAACAAATCCATTCTTGTATGTCTCAATCTTCTTATTGCCATTGGCCAACTAAAGGAGAAATCATTAAGTTGACTGTCTTATAACCATGTACTGTAGTGCATATGGAGAGATACACAATTTAGGAAAGAGGAAGCACGCAAGATATGATAATGATAAATGTACCTTATAAAGTTCCAAACAGACGAGACCAACAACCAGTGAAGTAGTTGTAGCAATGGCTGGAATAATTTTACCAGCAATACCCTTACTCTATGAGAGAGAGAGAGACAGGGTTAAGGTGTACTTCAGTATTAATACAATACCTTGTGATAATCGGCAGGTTCAATACTATAATTACCAGCTCTTAAATTAGAACAAGCAACAATGAAGTCCATGTGATAGTTAGTATCATCATCCTACAAGAATAAAAACAAACACATTATGAATGCAAATGTACATTGACTTTAAGCAACTTTAAAAATTCATAAAAAATCCAATTTTGATCGGAATGAGCTCAAATTTTCTACACAACATAGGAACATGTATATGCATTAGGAAAAATTATAAAAACAGAAATCTTACGTAGCCATTTTTGGCAAAATTTGGTCAAAGTCACTGTACTATAGTACAGGGACTTTGACCCAATTTTGGAGCAACTTTAAAAATTTGTAAAAAATTCAATTTTAATTGGAATGAGCTCAAACTTTCTACACGACATAAAAACATGTATATGTATCAGGAAAAATTATAAAAATAGAGAATTTCTTCTGAGCCATTTTTAGTGAAATTTGGCCCTGTGTACTATTATAATACACAGTTTTGGGCCAAATTTCTGAGCAACTTGATACCTTTTCAAAGTCCAGTGCAGTCATATTCAAATCTTTCAGTTTGTCAGGTGCAGGGAGAGACGCCTTTAATGTTTCCAATTCATTTTCATCAACAACAGCTGCTTCACGAGCCGCCTGAGCTTCGGCATCAGTGGTATGTATCACCACACCTGGAGGTTATAAAATAAACCAATTTTATAATAATATTTTTCGTTACCTGATTTAGGAACAAAGGGTGGAACTACAACAGCAGTGGCCATTCGTCTTATTTCTTCTTTATCCTTGATTGATTTGATATTGTAAGTCTCAGCATACAATATACTACCAGCAACAATGAACTGCAAATGGAGATCCTACACACACACACACACACACAGAGTTTAATGTACACATAATCACTAATAGAACTATTCATTACTTCTTTAGAATCGAATTCAATAGGAGATGGGCAGCGTTTAGGTCCCGACCAAAATGGCTGACCACTAGTGGTCTTGTGATCAGCAGGAAACACGTGTAACAATTGCGCTATTGTATTATAATAATACTCCTGGAATAATAGTCTGGCCCATTTAACACAGTCAGGAAATGTGGTCGGCCTTTTATCAACTGCAGCTGTCTTTAATGTACGAAGAGTCATTAACTAATGAGAGAGGGACAGTGAACGAGGGAGAGAGAGAGAGGGGGGAATAAGGTTTAAACTCACGGCCTGATTGCCAGAAGCAGCTTCTGCTGTCTCAATAAATTTAGGATCACTACAATATACAACAAATTATTATTATTATTGTAATGGAAGAATTCAAACCTCAGATATTGATCACAGACTTTGGCTGGTGCAACAAACAACTCTTCAAATTTATCTCTGGCCCACTGCAAGCAAAAAATTAAGTTATACAATACTAATAACAATACAAATAATATCATCAACCATCAAGAGCTATTGCACTACATTTGCAAAAGTGCATTACGCTTACCTGTAGTGTGTGTTCAATGGCATTAGGAAAGTTGTGTAGAGTACAAACGGGAATATCTTTCTCTGGAGGATCTTGCGATGATCCATAGCTCTCAGTTGTATTAGGCAGTACAACCTGAATGTTTCCTTTGGTACCAAGAGTGCCTGATTCTAGCAATGGCTTGCGATAATAGACACACCTTCCATCCATATACAGGCCTGTGTGAAATATTGTAATAATATTTTTTATTATTTTTTGAAGTGACTTACGAGCTTTTACGTTATCTAGTGCATTGCAGACTCCGTCCAAAGACTCAAAGAAATCATCATTATAAATATCTGAGAAATTATTATCATTATTATTATTACAATCATCTTCATTATTATTATTATTGTTATTACTGTAATGTAATACCTTCTGTTTCTGTTCCTACTCTGTTCTGTTGAGCCTCAATATTCAATAAAGGATTCATTCTTTTAACCGAGTTAGCAGCAACAACACTCTTTGGTTTCTGTAACAGAGAGAGAGAGAGAGAGAGAGGGAGAGAAGAGAATATAAGGAACAAACCAGAGGGTATGCATTACCTGAATGTCCCATGACCTGAATAAGAACTGCCTGTTAAGATTGCTCTTCTCAATATGATCCATATCTGTTACAAACACTTTACCATTTGGGCCAGCACCAATCCCAATCATAGCAAAGTTCTTTAACAACTCACAGCCAATAGCACCTGCTCCTACCTTTAGGAGTACAAATGAGAAGATAAAGAGATTACAAGTATGTTTATTTAGACGTACTATGAAATATTTCAACTGTTCCAGTTTCTTTTGATAGTCTGATCCAAATATAGCAATCTGTCCATCATACCTACTGCCCTGAGGAACAGCAGCTGCCTCTGGTAACTCATCCCCTCCTTCCTCTTCACTCAAACACTCGAGAGCATCAAAATAAAACCACTGGACAAGAGGAGAGAATTTAC